TCACCTCTGCCGTTCATGGAGGCACGTAGCCATCTTCCTTCCGGGCCTCCAGCTCAATCATGCAGAGTCTGCTTTCATCAAGCAGCTCCATGTGTGCCCGAGTGCGTGGATTTGGCTCTCGGACTCCAGCATTTCGGAAAACTCAAAAATATCCTTGGGGTTCGAAAGATCTAAGAAAAGTGACGTGGATATGCACATTTGGAAGTTTCAAAAGTCCCAAAAAAACGTGGATATGCGACCCGTCGACCGCGGGAGAGCGACGGAGCAGCCGCCTCCCCCCTGGCCGTCCAACGAGGCGAGTGAAAGCCCAGTCAGTCGTGATGTGGCAGCCAGCATGGTGACGGGTGAGCTCACGGCCTCCGTCGATCTCATTCCATGGCTGGCCTTCCTCTTCACTGACTGGATTTCTTCCACCCAAGTTTGCGTTTGCTGTTGCTTTACCGGAGGACCGTACCGGAATCTCGCCGGTTTGATTCCGGGTGGCTGGCTGTAGCTGGTGGCCGTCGACATGCATCGATGGGCACCAAAAGTGACCCATGGCCCACATGCATGTGTGCCTTTTCCCCAGCAATGCAGCAAGTTTCCAGGAACGCTCATGTGATGGTGCATCGTGTTCATGTCCAGTGACTGTCTCGAGAGTTCCAACAAGTTCCTTTTGTGAATCATAAGCTTCATTGATTAATCAACATAAGGATCGCACTCAAATTTAAGACATTACACAAGTTTACAGGACGACTTGTTTAGCACAAAAAAAATTAATTGTCGTATAGCAGAAGCTTCCATGGCAAGGGCATGAGCTGCAACTAGACAAAATGAGCCATGATGGCTTTCTCATTAAAAAATATCCAGACATTTTCCAGAAATGTACCTTGTGACCTTCAAAAAAAGAAAAAAGAAATGTAGCTTGCATATAAAATGCACACAAGAGAAAAGTGACACCACGAATTTGAAAATTTTCACTCCAAAAACCTTCCAATTTCCCGTAAATCCGGATACAGACCACCACTAAGTTAGTTGGTTCACTAATTCAAGCTCGGTAAGAGATCAAAGACCTTAGTTAAAAAGCATGACTAAAATGATTCTTGTTGAATCAATAAAAGAGGTCCACTCCCTCCACCAATTTCCCACACAATGTAGGGTGGTCGGGGCGAACAGATGGCAGCACATCCACATTTGCTGCCGGCAGATGAGCACGAGGATCTTCCCTATAGATATGCATATGCACTCAAATGGCATCTTTAGTAAGGAGCTCTATTGGAAAAGGAAGTGCCTAGAAGGCATTTAGGCACGCTTAGGCGCTAGGCGATGGCTAAACGCCTCGCCTAGGGTATAAATGGAAGCCTAGACAGAGCAAGCAAGGAATTATATACCCAAGCAAGAAATCATGGCATATTGCACTGATATGCTAAATGGGCTATATTCCAATGGCAGTAGCTGGTAGTTACCATATTATGTGAAGGAAATATGCCCTAGAGGCAATAATAAAGTTATTATTTATTTCCTTATATCATGATAAATGTTTATTATTCATGCTAGAATTGTATTAACCGGAAACATAATACATGTGTGAATACATAGACAAACAGAGTGTCACTAGTATGCCTCTACTTGACTAGCTCGTTAATCAAAGATGGTTATGTTTCCTAACCATGAACAAAGAGTTGTTATTTGATTAACGAGGTCACATCATTAGTAGAATGATCTGATTGACATGACCCATTCCATTAGCTTAGCACCCGATCGTTTAGTATGTTGCTATTGCTTTCTTCATGACTTATGCATGTTCCTATGACTATGAGATTATGCAACTCCCGTTTGCTGGAGGAACACTTTGGGTACTACCAAACGTCACAACGTAACTGGGTGATTATAAAGGAGCACTACAGGTGTCTCCAATGGTAGATGTTGGGTTGGCGTATTTCGAGACTAGGGTTTGTCACTCCGATTGTCGGAGAGGTATCTCTGGGCCCTCTCGGTAATACACATCACATAAGCCTTGCAAGCATTATAATTAAGATGTTAGTTGTGAGATGATGTATTACGGAACGAGTAAAGAGACTTGCCAGTAACGAGATTGAACTAGGTATTGGATACCGACGATCGAATCTCGGGCAAGTAACATACTGATGACAAAGGGAACAACGTATGTTGTTATGCGGTCTGACCGATAAAGATCTTCATAGAATATGTAGGAGCCAATATGGGCATCCAGGTCCCGCTATTGGTTATTGACCGGAGACGTGTCTCGGTCATGTCTACATTGTTCTCGAACCGTAGGGTCCGCACGCTTAACGTTACGATGACAGTTATTATGAGTTTATGCATTTTGATGTACCAAAGGTTGTTCGGAGTCCCGGATGTGATCACGGACATGACGAGGAGTCTCGAAATGGTCGAGACATAAAGATTGATATATTGGAAGCCTATGTTTGGACATCGGAAGTGTTCCGGATGAAATCGGGATTTTACCGGAATACCGGGAGGGTTACCGGAACCCCCCGGGAGCTAAATGGGCCATAATGGGCCTTAGTGGAAAAGAGAAGGGGCTGCCCTAGATGGGCTGCGCGCCTCCCCCTTCCCCTAGTCCTATTAGGACTTGGAAAGGGTGGCCGGCCACCTCCTCCTCTTTTCCCCTCCGAGGAATCCTAGTTGGACTAGGATTGGAGGGGGAATCCTACTCCCAGTGGGAGTAGGACTCTCCTGCGCCTCCTCCTTGGCCGGCCAGCCCCTCCCCCTTGGATCCTTTATATACGGGGGCAGGGGGCACCTCTAGACACACAAGTTGATCCTTGAGATCGTTCCTTAGCCGTGTGCGGTGCCCCCTGCCATCAAATTCCACCTCGATCATACCGTTGTAGTGCTTAGGCGAAGCCCTGCGTCGGTAGTACATCAAGATCGTCACCACGCCGTCGTGCTGACGGAACTCCTCCCCGAAGCTTTGCTGGATCGGAGCCCGGAGATCGTCATCGAGCTGAACGTGTGCTAAGAACTCGGAGGTGCCGGAGTAACGGTGCTTGGATCGGTCGGATCGGGAAGAAGACGTACGACTACTTCCTCTACGTTGTGTGAACGCTTCCGTTGCGATCTACAAGGGTACGTAGATCAGACTCTCCCCCTCGTTGCTATGCATCACCATGATCTTGCGTGTGCGTAGGAAAATTTTGAAATTACTACGTTCCCCAACATTATGTTCCTAAGTTAATATCGATACACATATAATAACCACAAATTCAACCCGATAGTAAACACTATATTGTCGCTTAGGCCGCGTCTAGGACGCTTAAGCACCACCTAGGCATTAGGCGAAGGCCAATCGCCTCGCTTATGCCTACCGCTTTTTCCAACCTTGGTAGGGAGACGATGTCCACAGCTTGAGACCCGTAAAGAGGTGCCACTGAGGACCATGCATCCAGGGAGGTTTACGACGTTGGGAAGAGTTGTCGCGATTGCTTCAATACGAGATCAGAGAAAGACTTCTCCCGGGCACAGGTAACTCGGAGAACCCAGTCATATATTGGGAAGTATAGCTCCACGATCACAACTGCAAAAGAGGTTAGGACGTCAGGATGGTGCCACTGTGGGCGGCTCATACACAGTATGGAGCTGGGGTTTCACCCGGAGCATGTACGAAGTTGTAAACCCGACAAGATGGGGCACTTGACTCCGAGCAACGGTAGCAACGACTCGGAGGGGCGGCCGCAACCACCATAGATCTCAGGAGGTGGGCCGACGAGTGGGGAGCTGGGAGCCGAGCGATTTCAATGGTTCAAGATAAGTAAGCCTATTGATCATGAATATGCGTAATATACGTTGACAATTTGACGTCGAGAACGTGAAAAGAAAACATGGCTGAAATGAATATTCTTTTCTTTTGAGACATGAATGTTTGTATAAAGTTAATAAAAGAGGCGCGCGCCCTCCACCAATTCCATCCCGCGGACAAAAATGGCTTCAATTAAACTTGAAAAATTCCAAGGAGGAAAGCCTTGATTTGATTTGGTGTGATCTGCTGGACAAGTCACTCCACCATGGTTCCTTTCCACATGCAATTGACGAGGCATGAATATGATGTGTATTTCTAAATGAACTAGAGATACGGTGAAAGCGATCAAAGAAAACTACTCTTCAGATTTAATTGGCCGGCCAATCGATCGCTAAGTAAATACTTGATTACCAAGCATCATGCATCCACCAACAGGATTAATAAAACTGCAAGTGATCGTGGAGTATTATTGTTTGGGAAAAGCATGCTGCAACTAGGCATGTGCGTCCATGCGTCTGGGAGAGTAATTAATTAACTAGAGATTAAGATCCCCCGCAAAAAAAAACTAGAGATTAAGATAATGGAGCATGCATCCAAGGGACCGTCCATGTTTAACTTGGCAGCTCAGCCAGACATAATAATTACAAAGAAAAAATAAAGCTATTTGGGATGGGTGTGTCTGCTGAGTTCTTCTTTATGTCTTGGATTGTATTTCAACCAGGATGATAAATATACTCATCTGAAATTTAAGCACAAGTCACCTAGATTACGTTTTACTTGTATTTATGTATATGGTGATATTTATTGTAATGCAGTCATAAGCTGCATCCGACGTATATGTTGTGAATCACAATGATGTTTTGATAAATACTTCATTATTTGAAACTGATGATTAGGGCCAATGATCAAATTCCTATTGAAGGAAATTAGTCATTGGGAAGTTTAGAGCCGGGTTGTGGTGCGACTGTCTCTCATCGTGTTAGCGTGATTTTGAAATGTCCCTATTTCTAAGTGATTCAAAAAAAATGTTAGCAAAGCCAGGTGATTTTTTTTCAATATCCAAAACATAATTTGCTCAATTTTAAATAGGTATTTATATAGTTGCATGAACAATTTTTTTGTTTTTTTTTGTTGAATACCTTGAAATACAAGTACAAGACGTAAGTGAAAACAGAAAAAACAAAACCAAAGGAGCTCCCACTTTTTTTTGACGGGAAGGCCTTCACGGCTAGCTTTATTAATCAACCACACTTACATCGTTTGCTAGAGATTTTACAATAAACTCAGGGGGTGCGTCTACCCATACAGAGGGAGAGTTTGTACTTCCCCAACTAGCTAGCTCATGAGCAACTACATTTGACTCTCGATTACAATGCTCAATAGTTACCTTCCCGAATTCACGAAGCAAGAATCTACATTCTTCTAAAACTGGGGCTGCCACCATAGCATGACCTTCATTCATCCGTAGAGCATCAACCACCACAATATTATCCATTCTCAGCATCACATTGTTGCAACCTAGGCTTTGGAGAAGTTTTATGTCTTCTAATAGAGCTGCAGCTTCCGCCGAGACGACATCCGGAATTTGCATGAGATAAGCTGTTGATGCCCCGATGAATTTCCCGCGGCTGCCTCTTACTACTGCTCCATACCCGCCTGTATGATCTTCAACATGAAACGATGCATCAACGTTTAGTACTTGTTGGCTGGACAAAACAACAGACCACTTTATAATTAGGTCCAGGAGCCACAAGCCATATTTAGCAAAGTTTGGATGTAAGTAGGCCCTGCTACCAATACGACCCAATGGACGCGTCTAAACTCTAAAGCAGAAACGAGTAGTCGGTACTCAGAATGTTATTTTTTCAAATGCCGTGCAGTCCTGTACTTAACAATTCAGGCGCAGTAGATTATATTGAGCGACCCAGCATTATTGTAAATGAAAAAACTCCAAAACAAGGTAACTATCTTCTGATGTTTATAAGTACACCATGATGGCTTTCTCTAAAAATACAAAATGTAAAAATTGCATATAAAATGAATAAGAAATAAGACAGCAGGAACTTGATACATTTACTTAAACTTGGTGGCATCCATGCCATTTTCATTCCCCAACAAATTGATTTACATGTGAACAATCATCATCATCATCATTAACATCACAGCCCTGTCATCAACACCATCTAATTCATCTTACTAAACAAAAAACCAGAACGAAGAACAAAAATGAAGTGATAGGCAGAGTCGCTAGTACTCCATCTCCAACTGTCCAAGAGAAAAGGAAGCCACCGACCGAGAACAACCGATCCATAACTTGTTGTGAGTGATCAGTCTAATCGACGACTACCAAGTCATCATCTGTGTATATATGGTTGTACGACGAGTCCATATCATGCACGACAAGCTTCTCGGCGGTGACGCTAGTGCCGGTGGCGTTGTTGAACATGTAGACCCCAGCTGCCGCGTAGATGGCCTCGGTCGGGTACGCCCTCGACGTTGCCGTCAACCTCCCGCCCATCGCGAAACTCTGGACAATGGAGTGATCCACGAGCACCCTGACGGAGAAATACTCGCCGTCGAGCACCGGCACCGTGCTACCCACCACCCGCTTCACCACATCACTAGCGTGCGATGACCGCAACTCATCATGGCAGAAGTGAGTCCGAAGACCACCATCGAGGCCCTTGGACACATAGAAGTACACTCCCGTCTGTTCGGTCAGGGCGCGATTGGCGAGGACAAGGAGGCCGAAGGGGCCAAGCGCACCGCGGGTGGCAGCGCCGCTGCTGGTGGTGCAGTTGTAGCTAACATCGGCCTCGTTGAGGGCCTCAATGGCGGAGGCATCGATGCGGAAGGTTGCCTCGATGTCGAGCTGAGCGGTCTGGTGAAGGGGGAGGAAGGCAACGGAGCCGGCGCCGACGGTGATGCCACTGAGATCGGTGGTGTTGATGCGGAGGGTATCGAGCTCCTCCACCGGCCATTGGATGAGGTTCGTCCGGGTCTTCTCGTCAAGCTCCACCGTCCTCGGAATTGACTGCACGCACAACACACACCATTAAGTCAGTGGATCCAATAATTCAAAATAGTTAAGCCCATCGATTATGAGTGCACATTCACATCATGAGCTTGAAGAAAAAACATGTCTGAAAATAATTCTTGTTTAATTAGTATAAAGGGTCCGACGCCCTCCACCCAATTCCATTAAAAACATTACCACATGAACAAAAAGGCTTCGCATAAACAACATCAAAGATTTGAAGGAAGAAAGTCGTGATTTGATTTGGTGAGGTTTGTTAGCTGGGACCGAACAAATCGCTCCACGTGCGACTGACCAGGCATGCACATGATGTTTGTCTGTATATGGTTGTTGAGCTACACTAGGGATGGTGAAATGGGCACTACATCGACAGTGTATTGCCCCTTGGAAGTTTCAACGATATGGTGAAAGTGACCAAAGAAAACTAGTCCTGAAATTCAGCCGCCCGGCCGGCCTATCGACCGATGAGTAACATATAATTAACCATCATGCACCTACCTTGAATCATAACTTAGTGAGCTTAATTTTATGACCATACATGAATCATAACCAGTTTTCTTAACGAGACCGATGAAGTACATTGAAATACAAATCCAGTGACGTTAATTTTATCAAGTGATTAATCCTTGATAAAAAGAGTTGCAATAATAAAGCAATATATAAATTGAATGGCAGAGACTGGTACTATGTGTTTGTCCATGCTTCCGGGGTAGTAAATTAATTTAGTAATTAACTAGATACCAAATCGAGGGTGCGGCCAAGGGAAGGGGCCGACCATGTTCTCCAGATCTGAAGCTTTTGACAGCTCAGCTAGACAGCAACCCACAGCCTAGACTAGAGCCGTCCGTTATTAGTTTTTTTAGTATTACTACAAAAAAAAAAAAGACAAACGACACCATGACTGCGACGCCGCACAGCTAGCCATCCTAGTGCTCTATACGCACTGTTGTCACTGGCCCACGGATCCACCACACCCAACATTGCAAAACCAACGGTGGAGCTAATGATGACGATCAATGATGATAATCATAATGTAAAATTAAGACAATCGTAAACCAACGGTGCTTTAGCGTGGGTGATGCTTTACCTGGAGGTTGGCCCACCCCTTGGTGATGTCGGCGCGCTCCGAGTCGGTCTCGCCGACGTACGCCCACACGACGCGCCGCTTCTTCACGGGGTCGTAGAAGGACTTGGACGCGTAGTACTTGCCCCAGTCGTACCGCAGCCCGACGCCGAGCTCGAGCTCCGTGTCGATCGGCGTCCACTTGTTGGCGGCGGCGTCGAACCGGCCCAGCGAGTACCAGTCGTGCCGGTCGTCGTCGCTGCTCTCCTTGAGCACGTAGAGCACGTCCTCGGCCGTCGAGTTGTACATGTCGCTGGCCTTGCGGCCCCCGCCGACGGCGTAGAGGTCGATGCACTCGTACTCGCCGGTGCCCTTGGGGCCGCGGTACATGTACCCCGGCATCAGCTCGTAGCTGATGAAGTCCTTGGTCTTGTACGAGAAGACGATGCCGGAGTGGTCCGAGTCGTTCTTGGAGCCGATGATGGTGCGCCACGTGCCGTCGGACTCGTCGTACCACGCGGTGGTCGGGTCGCGGAAGTCCTTCATGCCTATGCCGGGGGGCGGGAACACCACGGGGTTGGCGGGGTGCTTGACCCACTCGCGGAGGAGGGGGTCGCTCGGGTCGGCGGGCTCCGCGAGGCAGGTCACCTGCGCGAACGTCTCGGTGTTGCCGGTGTAGAGGAGGATGACCTTGCCGTCGGGGAGCACGGTGATGGAGCCGGTGAGGACGCCCTTGATGTCGTACCACTGGTCGGGCACCAAGGCCGGCGGGAGGTGGCGCCAGTGGATGAGGTCCTTGGACACGGCGTGGCCCCACACGATTTGTGGTTCCCAGACGGAGCCCGACGGGTTGTATTGGTAGAAGAAGTGGTACCATCCGCCATAATATACCGGACCTGTGATGGATGCACACAATTTGTTCAGTTAATATATTCCATAGTTTTTTCTTAAAAACAAGTCAATATACTAGTCCACAGACGATGAATCTATGAACAAGTAAGAATATTCGATCCATGGATTCGTTAGGTGGTGCGTGGCACTGACCGTTGGGATCTGCATGATGTCGCCGGAGAATGCCGCCGCCGGGGAGCAAACAAAACAGGAAGCAGAGGCAGCGAGGTCAGTTTCTGGATCAAACCAAGCCGGAGAAAAGAAAAAGAAAAAGAAATCTGGATCTGAAGATTTAATCGAGCTGGGCCAGTACCGTTCTGGTAGTACTTGTCCGGCTGGAAATGGAAGCCGGTGCGCTGCCACTGCAGCATGGCGTTGCTCCACGGGAACGCGTTGGCGGAGTAGGCCCCCGACGTCTTCTCCGACACGCCGTGCTCCTTGCCCCTGCTCCTCGGGAACTCCGTCGCCGGGGTCGCCGGCACGGAGGCGGCCACCGCGTCACGGCCCGCGCCGCCGGCCCCGAAGACCGCGGCGGCGACGACGAGCGCCACCACGGCCGAGGCGGCCAGCACGGCGGCGCACGCGCGCCACCTCAGGCCGCCGCCGGCCGTCCGCTCCTCGATGCCCTTGGCGTCGGCGGAGGAGGACGGCAGCTGCTCGTAGGCGTACGGCAGCGGCGGCGTGCCGGGGATGAGGATGACGCGAGACGAGTCCATGGCGCCGCCGCTGCTGGCCCGATGATCCCGAGGTAACTCGGTAGATTCTTTTCTGACCGATGGATGGGTGGTGGCTTCAGTGGGGGAGCGGGGGAGATTTATAGCTGGGGTTCGGGGGTAAAGATGGGATTTTTTTGGGGGTGGAACCAGCTGGGGTTTTGCGTAGGGTTTTGGCATCTACCGTCCGTTACAAAACAAACACACCTCACACTTAGTTTTTGTTTTTGCGATGACACCTCACACTTAGTTGCACATGCTCTTTGTTCTTGTGTTGATGGCAATGAGAAGGCATTGCTCTTGGGCCTCTGCTGGTTTCTTGAAAAAATATCTACAAACAAGGTGGCCCGCCCTAGTGGAGATTTCTCAATTGTTCAACGATCCAAAAACTTGATATGTGTAGGCAATTGTCTCCAATTGCTTTTGGTGTGACCTTCGAACCTCTATCGTTTGATGGTGTGAATTACAAGAGATGGCGTGCGAGGGTAGTTCTTTCACTACTAGGGATAATCTTGTACACAACAGCTTACCATTAGCGCTTTTTAAAAGGAAGCGCTGCTGCTAATTAGTAGTAGCGCTTGAGCAGAGAGAGCGCTACTACTATGCACATAGCAGGAGCGCGGTAGTTAAAAAACACGCTACTACTATAATTGGCAGTCCGTTGCCGGCAGACTAGGTATACTAGTAGCGCTCATACATAAACATCGCTACTGCTATTGTATCTAGCAATAGCGCTTTCCTGTAACAAGCGCAACTGCTAAATTCAGTCCCCTTCTAAGATCCAACTTTAGTCCCACCTCGCTCCGTGAACAGAATCTTTACCACCTTAAATATGATGCTTCTCAAACTATCACAACTACTTGATCTTCATTGTACTTTATGTGTAGGATCTGTGGCAATATGAATTTTCGCCTGTTCCTAAACCGGCAAAGATTCATACTGACAATTTAGATTCTGCACAAAAAGATCATTGATGACCAATGCTTTTTTGATGCTTTTTTTTACATGCTTAGTATTAGTAGTGACGGTGGTTCTCTAAAAGCACACAACAGTAGCGTTGGTTCCCTTAACGCGCTACTGCTATGTAGCTTAGCAATAGCGATGGTTACCAACCATGGCTATTACTACAGGCACCATATCCACACTGGCCGGCCCGCGCACCCTCACTCTCCCCTCACACTCTCACTCGCACCCTCTCCGCCTCGCGCCATCATCGCCGTCGTCCATCGTCGCCCGCCGTCGCCCATCGTCACTCTCTCCTCCCCCCCAGCCGCCCGAAGCCCTCACTCCTCCCTCCTCCTCCTCCCACCTCTCTCTGTAAAAAAAATTTAGGTATAAAATTTTTTAGTAAAAGAATTTAGTAATAGAAATGTATTAGGTACAAAAAGCACGTCGAGGGAACCGGTCTCGCGTAAGAGTACGCGTAAGGTTGGTCCGGATCGTCTCACCCAACAATACCGCCGAACCAAAGTATGACATGCTGGTAGGCAGTATGACTTGTATCGCCCACAACTCACTTGTGTTCTACTCGTGCATATAACATCAAACCATAAAACCTAGGCTCGGATGCCACTGTTGGGGAACGCAGTAATTTCAAAAAAAAATCCTACGCACACGCAAGATCATGGTGATGCACAGCAACGAGAGGGGAGAGTGTTGTCTACGTACCAACGCAGACCGACTGCGGAAGCGATCACACAACGTAGAGGAAGTAGTCGTACGTCTTCTTCCCGATCCGACCGATCCAAGCACCGTTACTCCGGCACCTCCGAGTTCTTAGCACACGTTCAGCTCGATGACGTTCCTCGGGCTCCGATCCAGCAAAGCGTCGAGGAATAGTTCCGTCAGCACGACGGCGTGATGACGATCTTGATGTACTACCGACGCAGGGCTTCGCCTAAGCACTACAACGGTACGATCGAGGTGGAATTTGGTGGCAGGGGGCACCGCACACGGCTAAGGAACGATCTCAAGGATCAAGTTGTGTGTCTTGGGGTGCCCCCCGCCCCCGTATATAAAGGTTGGAGGAGGGGGAGCCAGCCGGCCAGGGAGAGGAGGCGCAGGGGAGTCCTACTCCCACCGGGAGTAGGACTCCTCCCCCCAATCCTAATCCAATTAGGACTCCCGGGGGGGAAGAGAGAGAAGGGGGGCCGGCCCCCTATCCTAGTCCTACTAGGACTTGGGGAAGGGGGGGGGGGGGCGCCGGCCAGCTTGGGCTTGTCCCTTTTCTCTTTTTCCACTAAGGCCCAATAGGCCCATTAGTCTCCCGGGGGGTTCCGGTAACCCTCCCGGTATTCCGGTAAAATCCCGATTTCACCCGGAACACTTCCGATGTCCAAACATAGGCTTTCAATATATCAATCTTTACGTCTCGACCATTTCGAGACTCCTCGTCATGTCCGTGATCTCATCCGGGACTCCAAACAACCTTCGGTACATCAAAATGCATAAACTCATAATAACTGTCATCGTAACGTTAAGCGTGCGGACCCTACGGTTCGAGAACAATGTAGACATGACCGAGACACGTCTCCGGTAAATAACCAATAGCGGGACCTGGATGCCCATATTGGCTCCTACATATTCTTCGAAGATCTTTATCGGTCAGACCGCATAACAACATACGTTGTTCCCTTTGTCATCGGTATGTTACTTGCCCGAGATTCGATCGTCGGTATCCAATACCTAGTTCAATCTCGTTACCGGCAAGTCTCTTTACTCGTTCCGTAATACATCATCTCACAACTAACATATTAGTTGCAGTGCTTGCAAGGCTTATGTGATGTGCATTACCGAGAGGGCCCAGAGATACCTCTCCGACAATCGGAGTGACAAACCCTAATCTCGAAATACGCCAACCCAACATCTACCATTGGAAACACCTGTAGTACTCCTTTATAATCACCCAGTTACGTTGTGACGTTTGGTAGTACCCAAAGTGTTCCTCCGGTAAACGGGAGTTGCATAATCTCATAGTTATAGGAACATGTATAAGTCATGAAGAAAACAATAGCAACATACTAAACGATCGGGTGCTATGCTAATGGAATGGGTCATGTCAATCAGATCATTCTACTAATGATGTGACCTCGTTAATCAAATAACAACTCCTTGTTCATGGTTAGGAAACATAACCATCTTTGATTAACGAGCTAGTCAAGTAGAGGCATACTAGTGACACTCTGTTGGTCTATGTATTCACACATGTATTATGTTTCCGGTTAATACAATTCTAGCATGAATAATAAACATTTATCATGATGTAAGGAAATAAATAATAACTTTATTATTGCCTCTAGGGCATATTTCCTTCAGCTTCTTCTCTCTCTTTGAATCTCAATACAAAGTTCTCCCCCTCTCTTGTGGAGATCTATTCGATGTAGTCTTCTTTTTGCGGTGTGTTTGTTGAGACCGATGAATTGTGGGTTTATGATCAAGTCTATCTATGAATAATATTTAAATCTTCTCTGAATTCTTTTATGTATGATTGGTTATCTTTGCAAGTCTCTTCGAATTATCCGTTTGGTTTTGCCAACTAGATTGGTAGTTCTTGCCATGGGAGAAGTGCTTAGCTTTGGGTTCGATCTTGCGGTGTCCTTACCCAGTGACAGAAGGGGCAGCAAGGCACGTATTGCATCGTTGCCATCGAGGATAACAAGATAGGGTTTATTTCATATTGCATGAATTTATCTCTCTACATCATGTCATCTTGCTTAAGGCGTTACTCTGTTTTTAACTTAATACTCTAGATGCATGCTGGATAGCAGTCGATGAGTGGAGTAATAGTAGTAGAGGCAGAATCGTTTCGATCTACTTGTCACGGACGTGATGCCTATATACATGATCATGCCTAGATATTCTCATAACTATGCTCAATTCTGTCAATTGCTCAACAGTAATTTGTTCACCCACCGTAGAATACTTATGCTCTTGAGAGAAGCCACTAGTGAAACCTATGGCCCCCGGGTCTATTCTCATCATATCAATCTCCATCACTTTAATCTTGCTTTGCTTTTTTTACTTTGCTTTTACTTTTTACTTTGCATCTTTATACCAAAAATACCAAAAATAATATATCTATCAGATCTCACTCTCGTAAGTGACCGTGAAGGGATTGACAACCCCTAATCGCGTTGGTTGCGAGTAGCTATCGCTTTGTGCAGGTACGAGGGACTTGACTGTGGCCTCCTACTGGATTGATACCTTGGTTCTCAAAAACTAAGGGAAATACTTACGCTACTCTGTTGCATCATACCTTCCTCTTCGGGGAAAACCAACGGAAGATCAAGACGTAGCAATGATTCATCCATAGGTCAGCCGGCTCATGAAATATAGTCACTTGCCAAGGAGCTTGAGCATTTCAATTGTGTGTTACCAAACAAGTTGATTTTCAAAGGCATAATTGCCAAGCTCCCTCCTTCATGGAGGAATTTTGCTGCTACTCTGAAACACAAGAGAGAAAAATTTTCAGTTGTCAATCTCATGAGCACTCTTGATGTGGAAGAGAAGGTGAGGACGAAGAACATGCGTGCTTGATGAGACCAAATTCTATGATGTTTGTATGGTTATCTTGTGCCTACGCAATAGATTTTGTGGAATTTTACCACGTTCGTGCACTGCTTTGTCGGTTTCCCCAGGATACGACTTTTGGAGCAAATGTAATACTATGGAAGGAATCCTTGGAAATTATGGTGGAATCACATCAATCAATGTGATTATCACCACATAAAAAGAATAAAACAAATGGAGGAAGTTGGAGTCCGTGCAGCTCTTCCAGAGCGCAAGACAGCCATCCCCCTACTCGACTATTTCCACCCCGACCAATCAGATCGAAAAGCAGATGCATACAGACACTAGTAACGCATCCAGAAGGAGAACCCTAACATATGGAATCCATCTGGAGGGGGAATTTTCAAGGTGGAAATAGTCATTTTCACCATAACATGCAATGGAACGACGACATCATCATCACCACCATCAACATCATCTTCATCCATCTTCACCTTGTGGCAATACTAAAACCCTAGTGGACCATCATGTGTATTACTCGTATGTATCATCCAAGTTTACCATCACCACTTCCTTGATGTTTGTTATTCTTACGTACGAGTAAACCCCTGAGTTCTCGGGGATATGGATGAACCTTGCTACATATAGGAGCTGAAACACTAATAAGGATA